TGACACCACTTCTCATATTCCCAACACTGATTATATACCTATCATCAGTTGTTACATCAGAGATCGAATACAAAACAAGCGGGACACCCAAGTAGGTATCAATAAGTTATATGAAATTATACCAACCATGGGTTACACCTTCTTGGCTTTTCCAGATTTGAAGAGATCGTTATGCGATTTACTATTGATTATTTATTTAAAGGTGAGGACCCTCCATTTTGTATCCCTTGTGATGAAAGAATCGCAGCCAAGCTTGTTCTGCTTGACTGTATTGACGTTTCAATCACAATGGATAAATATTTCAGTGTAAAAACAGTCAAGGATATCTCTAATAAAGCAAATTTTCATTTCACTATTGATCTTTTGAAAGATATACAATTCTTTAAATATTTTTGTATAGATATGTTTTGTAAATGTATAAATGTTACATAATATAGTTTAAATTATATTAGCAACAGAGATTGTGGATGTATCATCAAAAGGGGTTAAAGTCTTGTTGTCCCCTAAGGGGGAAGTAAGACCAAGTCTTTCGAAGCAGATTTGGTTACTTTAATCGTAGTATATTATTACTAAATTATTAGTTTAAGTCATGCCTAAATCTTCGTACAATGACCAATGGCTGAAGGACGGTGTAAATGCAGCTGAGGCCAATGCAGGCAGCGTAAGTACTGAAAGTGTACATGGTCCCTAGTATGTGCGATCTGTAGTCCGTTCTATATTTTATTGATTTCAATAGTAAAATAGTTTTAGGGTAACATGCTAGTTTTACATCTATATCTGTGATATTCGAGTTGCCTTTAACGTCCGTTCTCGACAGGTGTATACAAACTAACTTTATGTATCATAAATATATATTGTTTTGGCCAACGTACAAGTTCTTCTTGGTTTTGAAAAGGGTTAAACATACCTTCAACTGTCGAACATAAACATAATCTTTCGAACGTAGAGAAGTCCAAAAATGAAGCTTCACAAATACTAAGCTGTAGTATTACTATACCGCCAGCGGAGGTGCTACACATACCCTCCGCAGAAAGAAGTAGAATAAATGATGTGGGATTGTAAATACTTCCGGGCTCATGATGTATTGTTTAGCCTACACCTGGATATACGAGTAGATAAGCTATAATTGTTCACATGCTGTTTCTTTTCTTTCGGAAATGGTTTTGTCACTCGACTACGATCGGTTTTGGACGGATACAGCCGAATTTATTCTACAGTGCATTCTACAGTTTCGCATAGTGGTTGTGCAAGTATTCCCTAACAGCCGCTGTCAAATCCGCTAATACCTCTTTTCGTTTGTATAAAAAATGCATTAGATTGCAATACGGAAGTTATGCCACCAATACGCCATCATTATAATCTCATTCAATAATGTTTAGTCACACAGATAGGAGGGCCTGATAAGGGTGTACAACACAAACGGGATGACTGAACTCTAGTACTGCAACAGGCTCGGCAGAGTGCAGGTGTAGACCTACCTGGTGGTGTCGGAATGGGAGCTGTTGGACTTGATGATGTGGCCACAACCTAGTAAACAGCATAAGAAGATTAACTCATCAAATTTGAAGGTTTTGATTTCAAACGTAGTTTGAATATTAATAATCATTGACATCTTGACAATTGACATTTAGACAGAAGTTTCAACGATAACCATTGCTTTTGCAGATACTGGAAAAGGCGAAATACTGTAAGGTTATTTGATAATGTAAACCTTTGCTAAATTAGATTAAGCTTAATAAAAGGTTACAGCTGAATATGTAGATTGTGTAGATTGTGTCAACATTTAAATGCTTTCTGTTTGTACAATAACTGTGCACCGGAACCAGAGTCCTTCGCGAGGAACACACACAGCTCGACTTCTTTGATTGGCATTCTAGAAGTTGAAGCTACTGTATTCCAGTGAACGTTACATATTGTGTTCATATCCACACGGTTACATATTCAATCACATCTTTTATATATATTTTCAAACGAATATCGTTCATGTATGATCGTTGTATATTTGTATTAATATTATGCAACACATTATAACTTGTGACATAGTTCAGACATATGTTCCTTCAGGCTGTTTAATAAAATAGACCAGAAATAAACGTATCGGCCTCACAACCCAGAGCCGTTTGTATTCTTTAACGGGCGCAAACAAGGCGCTGTTATATATCGATAAACATTTTCAGCAGAATAATTAATATGGATTTAACATATCTCAAACTACTCACAAAGCCTGTTGTTGTCACACACATAGTGACACATATCCATTTTAAGGACATTCTGCAGGAGTTCTTCGGATGTCCCCGACTTATTCCAATCCTTACTCTCGTTGACTGTCGCGGGTTAAACATCGCAGTTGACGAATAAAAGCAATGTGCAACAGGAAATATTGTACATGACAATATCCGCCAATAATGAAGCGGAAATAGAATATGATCTGGTTTTGAATAGTTACTAAACGCACTACCCCATGGAGGTGAAATGATCCATGCATTAAAGTTTTATTAAACTATCCACGTTCGAGGCCGCGATCTAGAGGGGTCCCGGGAATTTTTTAAAATTAGATGCTCTTAGATACAATTTCCTGCTTTCTGAAGGTAAAATGACTCCATTTACGTAATCTCCAATTTTGTATAAAATAGTTTTTTTTATTAACTTCAAGTGACAGTCCAGAAATTACACGTGAAATTTACACTATATACATGATATCTTCAGGTTTGTTCAATATTACTCGTCACTTTACTCGATGCAACTTAACAAGATAAGTCAGTCAGAAAGATTGCTTTATTTATGATCAACCATGAAATGAACACACTTACAGTTCCAAGGGAATATCAAATATGATTTTGACACCATTATACACTTTTAGCTGTATTTGAATTTCCTCCAGTCTGTCTTCCTAGAGTAGACAGTGCAAGGAGTTGGTATCAACGGTGTACTTCTGTATGTGTGCATCATTGTCAGACCAGTTAGACGTTCAGGGCTCCTTGTTGCTCGTGTCCACAACTTGAGTCTTCGAAGAGAGGAGAAAGACCTTTCACAAGCCACACTGCCGACTGGTATGGTCATGAACACTGTCAGGATGTCACGTCTACGTACATTACACTTGGCCAAGGTGACAGTTCTATCCCAGACTTTGACAATATCTCTTGTGCGCGAGTTTGCAATGCATTCACGGGAGACAGCAACATCACGGTATGCAGAACCTAAGTCACATGACACAGACTGCAAGGAAAGAATAACACTACTGCAGAAACTGAGTACAAACTGCGCAACAATGAACTGAGAACCGGTTATCAGGCGTATGTATGAATTGGCATCTGATTTTGCATCTTCAGAGCTTGAATCTGCAATCTGATCCAGACTTTGCAAAACAGTGTGGTATTTTGCCATCAGTGCAGACAGTGTTGATACCTTGGGTGCCTCCCCGTGTGGCACAGAACTTTGGTACTGCTTTTCGCTTCGATCCTTTCATCAATTAAATTGTTGACGCTTCCATTTCCAGTTCATCATCCTGTGGCTCAATCAGTGCCAATCAGCTCAGAGTCGTCGTCCTCATCGGCCTCAAGGTGGGTGGACTTCCTCTAAGTAGCACTGCCACTGAGAAGCCAAGTCAGTTTTGTGACACTTTCAAACAAGTTCCTGATAGATGGAACAGATCTGCAGCCTGTTGACTGTTGGCAATGTACTAGGATGGCATTTGAATACAGTGATGCAACCTTTGCCCGTACTTCACTGAGGCTCGAACTCATAACAGCAGCCCCTTCGTAGCCTTGTCAACCTAGAAAGTTCATGACATGTTGGTAATCAGTGGAGCCAAGTAATCTACAAGCTGATGCACGAAGTACCACTGATGTTCTGTCACCAGGTTAGCTCGCTGCAGTGACGACCATGTTGTAAGTTGCAAGACTTTTCAGATCACGTTACCACAATGTCTTGATCATGGGGATGAGGGAATGATTTATGATATAGCATCGGTTCATAGTTCCAAAAATAAAAATGAGTATAGTTTATATAATACTATCTATTTATTATTCACCCATCAGTGTTTGTTTGTGTAATGTGCATTCGTTGTTTTGTAGGTTACTAGTATTTTAAACTTTGTCTATCCTGTCTTTGTGGATTGAATGCAATCCTTTTTCTAATGAAGTATTTTGTTCACAACATTTTATAGGGTTCCGCGTAGTATGTCATTGCCTTGGATTCCATATTTTATTTATTAATGATTGCTGTAATCATGTGTAATTAAGGGACCGTTCATAATTTTATAGCTGTGTGTGTGTGTGTGTGGTGGGTGGGTGGGTTGATGATATTTTAAAGGGGGACACCCATTTTGTCCTATAGATGTGGGGCTCAGCACTTTGTACACATGTACTAGGGGGATCAGCAATTTTGTACATGAAATTATTAAAATGTTATGCTTAAACATTATAGGAAAGGGGAGGGGGTCATTGCTTTTGTACATGGCATGCAGGGGATCACTTACTGTGTACATTAATTTTTTTATTTATTTATTTTTTTTATTTATTTTTTTAAAATTTTTTTGGGGTGGGGGGATAGTCATCCCCCTCGCCATCGCAATCTTTGCGTCATTAATTGAGGGTTGGATTTCAGGGGCTGCGGTGAGGGATAACTTCTTTGATGTACAAAAAATATTCTGTTAAAAATTGGGGGGGGGGGGCTTTCCCCCCTGGGCTACCTACGACACTGCCTTTCTTTAAAGGGAAGACACAGACAGTGTCAAGAACTACCCACACGCACCGCGCACATACGTACGCACACATATACATACTGACCTGAACGCCATCAGTAAACGCGTACGTTTGCGAGATTTATATACATACCAAAATATAATGTTACTGTGTTGTGTTGTCATCCAATGTGTGGATGATTTAAATATTTAATGTCACAGATTTAAAGTCTCAGAGACTAGAAACGCATGACACTGACGGCCTATTTCTAGTGGACAGCAAGCACCTGTTGAATAGTTATGTCCCTTTGTCCAAAGGTGGCGCTGTTTCGGAACCATTCTGACAACAAACTCATGTTATAGTGAGTCACAAGATCGAGTTTGCTACAAATAATCAAAACAAAATGGACAAACTGAAGAAAGCGTTGAGTGGAGACGATGAAGACGAAGAGAAAGGGATCGTCACACAGGTATATATGTTCAAACATAACGAAATGATAATATATTTCCGGGATGTCGCGGTTGTCACACCTCCCAAGTGACCAGACTGCCTTGGAGTCTTTGAAGTCAACAGCTTGCATACAAATTGCAAATATTAAAACAGTCATGCGCCAGAATGTCTGCTGTTTAGCTGAAATGAAACTTTGCCAGTTGCACTATCCACACGGCCTGTCTAGTCCATTGCCATTATTAGATTACAATCATCTGAGTTTAATCACCAAATTCAGAAAACCTGTTGAATTTTCAGACAAGGCCATTGAGGGAGACCACAGACGTATATTACCATATGTAATAATATTACCTTTGGATCAGGCTTTCAATCGAATGATTTACTTACATATTTGATTGTTTTTAATATCAGTTTAGTCAAGTAAGTATGTCTGAAACTCAACTTAGTGATGAGATATATTTTATGCACAGTATCGATGAACACAACATATTATCCACACACACCCAAGGCTCTTTGGTGTGTGTGTGTGTGTGTGTGTGCGCGCGCATGACAGGATCGTAGACAGTTCTTACTCATGCTGTAATGAGGGTAATTGCATCACACAGACACTGTAAACATGGTAAATTCTTGAATGATGGCTTGTGCTTAGGATTAAGTTTTGTGACCTGTTTTACAATTGTTTATGAGATAACACAGTATGTTCTTAAGCATACAAAAAACCCATGACAAGGGAAATATGTATAGTGGAAGATTTATTATAAAACAGCTTGCTTATGTATTAAGTATTTTACTTCACATTTCAGAGGATAGGGGGGTGGTAGCAGAGTATTGCATCCCCTAGGAATACCAGGATCTGCTGGTCAAGGGTTCCTGTCCCACATGTGACCTCAGTGTAATCTTAAGCTTTTGTCGGAAACATGAACTGCTTATCCCTAAGGCTGACAAATCAAAACAATCAAAGGTTAAATCTTCTGGTGATGGTCTGAAATCTGTTGCAATGTGTATATGATAATTGCAATGATTTCAAATATTCCAATGTTGCCATCTTGTAATGTTTCCCCGATTTCACATCACGCCAAAGACCCAGGTGAAAATCCCCACATGGGTACAATGTGTGAAGCCCATTTCTGGTATCCCCTGCCATGATGTTACTGGAAATAGTGGAATATTGCTAAAAGCGGCGTAAAACCAAACTCACTCAGTCAGTCAGTCCCCACTTTCAATTTCTGTCACTGACTCAATTTACATCATCATCTAGCCACTGTGGGGGCGCATGGACAGCATCAAAGTCTGAGAATTTTCTAAACGTTAACCCAGTGGAACTGTATGAGCTGTCCATTGGATTTGTTTGTAATTTTTTATCATGAAATGTCGAAAGTATAACTGTTTAACTGTAATCTAAGTGTAGGGAACATAGTGTCAATTGATGTCATTGATGTCTGTTATGTTCATCATTACCTGAAGTGATGTAAACATTTAAATGTAAACAATAATACAAATCACTTTTAAACCATTACAACGGTTAATGTTTGAATCTGAAATTAATGGCACCGGTTACCCATCCTCAAACATGGACATTTCACATTGGCATGATGAGCTTGGGGTAATGAGAAAATGTATTTCACAAATTGATCAAGACATGCTGTCTATATCAATGTTCTAATGGTTATTAGTGGTTGGGCTGGAAACTAAGATACCTAGATCAAGTGGTACTAACTAGGTTCCGGATTCTGCCTGGACAGTTGGTTAGTCATGTGATCTATTGTTTAAATCAAATTAATAACAGGATATATCTAGAACTCCATGATTACACAACAAATGACAAATGTTTGCATTTCTTTTTGGCTGTTTTATGTAAAAATTCAGATAAGGCTTAATTTTATTTTACTGTATGCATGAACGAATTGTTCTAAACTTTTTGCTATTATAGTATTAGTTTCAAATGGTTCCCTTCAGGAGATTTTGTACCTATCTATCTATTGAGACCTACAGCAGGTACCAAGGTAGGGTCCAGTAAGAAGTGGTTATACCTGGGCCAAGATTTTTTCGGTTTAGATTTTTAAGATAGTGGCGTAAGTGCCATACATTAACATTAACTTACGCATTAACATCTTAGCGCTAAGAGAGCTTCGAAAATCTAGGCCCTGGATACTAAATGTGGACTTGTCACAGCCCAGATCAACAGTTGTGTCAAATTGCCGTGGGTGCATTGGTGATTGTTATTTGTTCTTTCTGCAGATATCTGATGCCTCCACCTTAAGTTGGTCAACCCGAATAAAAGGCTTCATAGTGTGTTTTGTCCTCGGTGTTGTGTTATCAACGTTGGTAAGTTGATGGGCTGTATCATTTGAACTTGCAAAAGAATACTACAGTCTAGTTGTCTATGGCTCCTGAGTTCACTGAGTTAGTTAGTAAGTTACCCTTAGTGTGTGTTCAATCAGTGTTCATCCTGATTATGTTTCAAGGTTTGTCAGCATCATTCCAATACTTGTGGGCTTCTCCAATGTGGTACAAATACGAAACTTGTATCACTTCCAGCTTTCCTCCGAGACGGTGGGGTAGCCTTGTGGTTAAATCATTGGCTCATCATGCCGAAGACCCGGGTTCGATTCCCTACATGAGAACAATGTGTGAAGCCTCTTTCTGGTGTCGCCCACCATGATATTGCTGGTATATTGCTAAAACGGCGTAAAAACCACTCACTCACTCTATTTTTCCTCCCCAACTTACCTGAGATGCCGTGATTTAGCTAAAGCACTGTTAAGTGTCTTTAAACCCAACTCAGTCACTGACTCACTCATTTAATTCTGTATGTACACATGATATATGTGAAAGTGTTTCAAGAAAACATTACAATAAACATTATGAGGTGCATCTGCCAAAAAGAAATCTTCAGAGCGTTGCTTCTCACTGTGTTCTCCCTCCTGGTTCAGCATCAGTAATTTTATCTTTCAGGGAACCTGTTTATTATTTGCAAAAAATGGTCTCGTCATGTTTGCTGTTTTGTACACTGTTGGCAACGTTCTGTCATTATCAAGGTAAGTTCTGCAAAATGATAATTGGTGATCATTATGATAGTGACACAAGGATTAAAAGGCCACTGATCCAGAGCAATTTCCGTGGACTGGTTGTTGCTTTTGTTATTGTTTTTCTCCAGTGTGTACCCGGATGATATCCCAGAATTCATGACTGGTTTGTTTCCTCTGCTGCGCCACCCTCATCCGCAATTGATAGTATAAGTATAGACTGATCAACAAAGATGAAATCTATTTACTCGATAATCTTATGTGGATTTTGTTGTAAAATTATGTAGACTTTGATGAATAATTTGGTTTCTTATAAAAAAAATATTTACTTGGATAAACATGCTGATTTTGATGTAACATTTTGATTTCATAGTAATGTTGACTTTATAAAAATGTTAACGTAATTGGATGTAAATTTGATTTAAGAAATAATTTGACCTTTAATTTGGTGAGAAGCCTGATATAATAGCATTGTTTTGAAAGTAAGGCTAACTAGTACATGGGAGTCTTGGGGAGAGTAGTGAGCTTATGTTCACTACTAGTCAATCTGAATGTTGTATTAAATGGCATTATTTTGATAACAAATGAAAACATTTTAAGTTTAACCATCTGCCAGTGGTAAAAAATGTTAGGACTGAAATAACGAAGTCAATGTACGTCTTTATATTTTGTCTTATAATCCTAATTAGTTTACTATCATAGTTGTATGCATTTATACTTAGTGAATTTATAACATGATTGTAATATCTAGACATTTTATAGATTGCCAACGTGTATCATATTTCACACACTCGCCCTGACCTAGTGTATGTTGTCTGTCTCATTACACTTCACAGCAAAAGAAATGATTCTGTTGAATGCCATAACAAATAAATAAAAGCAAAATGCAAATATTAAAATTAAAACAGACTAAAGTTATAACAACAATATCAGGCTATTACCTTGTTCGGGTAATGTATCCATCAATATCCACATAAAGTTCAATAAAATCGATTTGATAAGCAAAAAAAGATATTGTTCGATGATAGTTTCACTTTTACAGAGCTGTCAGATTGTTCCAGAGTACTCAGAGGAGACAGTAATCCTGGCTGTTTGAATTGAACAATGCTGTAGTTTCATTTGGTGGTGTAACATACACAGTTACATACGGAGAATGTTTTACATAAAGAAATATGAAAATTTTCATGACTCCCAAATATTGAAAATGACTCCCAAAAATAAATATTGTAAGTCACTATGACTCCCATTTTTCAAAGTCTGTGTAAAACCCTGCAGACCTCAATTTATAATGATGAGTATTTACTCCAGACACAAGAAATGCCAAATGGGAACCTTTGTCGGGTAATCTGAGTGGTGTTATCACTAATTATTCCTTTTATAAATTCATTAACTGACCATCAAGGGAATGATGACAAATAACATACTAGTATATGTGTAGGTTTACCACCAAAGAAGGGTTACAGCAAGAGAATAGTAATCGCTGTATTGCATGTCAGTTTGATTGCCTGAAAAAAAAAAACTGTTTTGAAGATACGAACAGAACTTCATTGTTACCTAAGAAATATATATAAGCATTTGCTGTGTACTTTTGCTGTTAAAAACTGTATATACCTATGTACCTAAGTAAAATTTCAGATTTATTTTGCAGTGGCAAAGTGGGGTTGTTTAGTTCATGGATTCAAATATATCAAATGTGTATTTTTGATATCATAGCATACATAATAGACATCATATTTTTACATGATTAAATATTGAGGTAAAAACACAGAAATAGGTTCAAATTGGATCAGTCACTATACCATCCAAACATTTGAAAATCTGAAAAAGCCTACACTTCTGGGATACTTTATTACAATCAGACAAGAACTACTGGGGATAGTTTCAAATAACGGCATCTGATGGGCATCCACCCTCTCCTAATGTCCCACTGATTAGGTTGAAGAAATTCTGCCAAGGTGGACAGTAGCCCAGTCCCCGAGTCCGTCACGGTCGAGGGAGCAGGGGCTGACTAGTTTGCAGTTAGGTTTCGTAATTAGACTGTTGGCTCTGGATCAGTGGCTCTTTAAGTTAACATTTATTGACCATCTCAATTCTGAATTTTTAAAACATATTGAGCATTCCATGAGGATAGTTTCATTGGCAGGGTAGATTTATCTTATATATTATGTGTCATGACAAAAGTTAAGAACTTCAAACTATATCATACCATTTTGTTAATGTCATCAATGTCTCAAATTCTGCTATTCAATGTGAAGCTTGATGTTCTTGTTAGTGATGATGTCAACAGGGTGGCAGCACTCAACAACATATAAAGATAATGATGACTTTTATTAATCATTGGGACATGTGGACAAAACTATAGAAGTATGAAATCTCATTAACATATGCATAATTTCCGTTATCTGATGGAAATTCCTTGTAAATCTTGCAAATATAACTACACATGTTAAAGAGGAGAAAACCTGGTTCAGGTAAATCAGTAATGTGATTATCTCCATGCCATTGTTGGTTTGTCTGGTCCAGACCCAGTTATTTACTCCATACCATGATCAGGATGATTTAGCTCAAGTAATACTGCCTGTTGCATTGTAAATTGTATGTAGATTTGAACAGTTTCTGATCCTGTTGCTAGTTCTATGGATTTAGAGTGGGTATGAGTCTCCTCTACTGTGCTTAAAGGGCAAGTTTAGTCGAAATTTACCTTTTTGTCTCGCACAAAAGTGTTTGTCAAGTAGTTAGATAGCCAAAACAGTACAGATATCAGAAGTAAGCAATTTATTTTTTGCGTTATATGGATTAATATTTTCCACATTAACCGAGGGTTCTATGTCCATAATAAATACACCATGGCTTATGTCCCTTGGAAATGACGTCATTGGTGCCCGACCGATAAACGAATGACGTTCTTTGAACTTATTAGATCCATTTCACGTGGTGCAGGTATAGGAGTGGTTCTTGTGTCTCGATGCACAGGCCACTGTTTTAATCCTGCTGTTGCCTGGATGTCAGCTGGCTATGTGGCCAGATCCAATTGGAAAAACATATACATTGTACAAAACTTGTTACCACGTAACCAAATTGTACAACATTCAACCAGAGTCGGCTGCCGTATCTTCTTTCACCAAGACTAAACATATATGCACTATATCTATCGGTGAATGTGCTGGCATTCTAGGTTTGGTACTTAATTCCTACATAAATCGTACAGTAATTGTCTTTCCTCTTCAACCTTCATTTTGATGCTGAAGCCATATCCAAATACATCACGAAGAAAAAGGCAATATTCACAGTTTTGTATTCTGTTAAAATTCTTTCTTCTATGATATCATCCGCTCATTGTAGGGCAAATTTACAAAAATTGGATGCATTGTAAATCTCGCCAGTTTTTACACATCACTGAATCACCATTCATTGTGTTTTGTGTTATTTATAGTATGTCTTACTTTAAATGCTTGCAAATATTGATTCAATGATAATGGCGAAGACACAATCAATGCAATTGCTATCAGCAGATAATGAAAAGAAAGAACACAACAAGAATAAACTAATAGTCTTCCCTGTCGTGATGGCTTCATCCATGAAGGTTGAAGAACGAATACTACGATATCGAGAATGTAACACGATCACCGATAGACAGATGCATATCGAAAGATGCGACGGCGGCTTTCCTGACGTGTGGATTTTTATTGCAATGTATGTTCAGTGAATCTGGCCACGCTGACATCGAACGCTGGCAGGATTAAATCGAAGACGCAGAACACTCACCCATGGATCTAATAGTTCAGGCATCGTTCGTTTATCGTCGACGCAATGACATTCCCAAGGGAACCATGTTCTTTATTATCATAAAACTGGAACCAATATTGAAAATGTGTCCATATAACGCAAAAATAAATTGCCGCTTCTGATATCTCGCTGCTGTTTATTTATCTAACTTAACCGACAAGCGCAATTTCGTGAGGCCCGTTAAACTTTGCCGCTAACACGATGAAGACTTTCATACCACTCACAAATCCATGGGAACTGCTGTGGGATCGAAGCTGTTCAAATCTGTACAATTACAATGCAATGAGCAATATTGCGAGCTTCGTCATCTGATCATGACGTAATTAAATAACTGGTCTGGCGGTAACTCAACTGGTAACGGAACAATCACATTACTGTTACCTGAACCGGGACGCACTGCTCCTCTTTGGCACGTATTGGCGGATATGTTAAAGATTACGAAATTTCGGTAACGGAAATTATGCATGCTGTTAATGAATTTCATGCTTCTATGGTCCCCAATGATTAATAAAAGTCATTGGCTCTTTATATGTTGTTGAGTGCTGCCACCCTAATGCATCATCGCAACTGGGGCATCAGCTGCATTGAATGGCAGGCTGAACATTGACATTAACAAAATGAGAACGTGATTCTTGGCTTTTGTCATGACATAATATAGTACCGATGTAAATATGTTTAAAATTCAGAGGTAGTCAATATGTTAACCCAAAGGCCGCTGTCCAGAGGCAACATTCAATGCGAAACCTAACTGCAAACTGGTGGCCTGCTCCTGCGACGTGGCGCATTTCGTACTATCCGCAGCGGCGAACTTCAATCGGTGAGTTTGTGGAAAGGAATATCCATCAGGCCGTTATTCGAAAACCGTATCCCCGAAGCCGAACTAACGTCTGACCGTAATAAGCTGTCCCAGAGACCGAGCTTTTCGAATTTTCAAATGTTTGAACAATGCGAAATTGTTTTCGATCAATTATTGTTTTACCTCGGCTGTTAATCGTAAAATATGATGCAATATGTAATAACTGCTGTTATCAAAATACGTTTTGTGGCGGGATGAAACTAACGACGCGTAAAGCGGTCGGTAACGCGGTATGCGTTTTGGCGGCGCGCAATCTTTATCTTTGCGTGGAGTTCTTTATCGGCTGGTTTTTTGGTAAATCAACGGTATGCGAATTTATCTTCGCGGCATTGCTGCGCATCTTCGTCAACCGTTACATTAATTACCGATGGATGAATGAACCGTTGCCGAAGAACGATGACGTTCAATTATTTGCGACGAAGGTTGCAGGCCGATATGACGGTAACAAGGTGGGGTTCCGTTTGAACAAAATGAAGTCTGTGGAACCACAATATTGTACGAAGTCATTTTCAATGACGAGATGTAATTTTCATATTTCTTTATGTAAAACATTCTAAAATGTCTTCAACGGCCAGTATCTTACGCAACGTGTTATTCAAACGGCCGGAACCAATGCTGAACTATTTGTTTCATGGCTATCATCGAACAATATCTTTTTGCTTATCAATAGATTTTTATTCCGAACATATTGAATATTGATGAATTACATTACCCGAACAGATAACCTGACTATTGTTATAACACCGGTCTGTTTTATTGCAACTGTTGCATTTTACTTTATTTGACTGTTATGGCATTCAGCGCAGAATCATTTCTTTGCTGTGAAGATAACAATGAACTGACAACATACACTAGGTCGGCGTGGTAATATGATACGCGTTAATAAAATGTCTGAATATTGATCATGTTAAATTCACTAAAAGTAAATAAACGTATGATAAACAAACTATTAGAATTATAGACGAAATGCTCGCGTGCATTGACGCCGTTATTTCGATCTAGCACGATACACCGCTGACTGAAACAATTAGGCAAAATGTTTTCATTTGTTATCGGGTAATGCCATTTAACCAACATTCGAACCGAACTGACCAGTGAACATGAAACAGATTTCCAACGCCCACTTTCAAAGGCAATGACTGCAAAGGTCCGGAAGTCGACTAATAACCCAAATCGAAATTTTACGTCAATTCGTTAACATTTTATAAAGGTCGGCATTACTATGAGAAATCAAAATGTTGGAAATCGGCATGTTATCGGTAAATGTTTTATGAAGGCATTCGTCGAAGATCTACGCAATTACGCAACCGATATCACTGGAAGTAACCGGTGAAATGGAACTGTTTGTTGATCGATCATACTTATACTATCGGTGGCGGATGTGGCGTAAACCGGTGGAATTCTGGACATCGGTACACTGGAAAACAATAACGAAACGGCAACGATCGCAGTATACTGAATCGACTATCCTTGTGTCACTAACGCCAATGATCGCAGTGGAAGCGATGACGAGCGTTGTGACGATATTCAACGAAACGTAAACGGAACTTCATTTTACGGAAATATTCAGGTTCCCCTGAATAAATTGCGGGAAGAACACCGGTGAAACTGGCATCTGAAATTTTCATATTTGTGTAATGTTTTCTTGAACGCTGCTATCGTATTATTTTACGAAATTGAAATTGATCGGTACAGTTTAGACGCTTAACGATTAACTTCGTCACGGCATCGTGAGGAGAGTGAAGATGATTTCGCGTTTTAACGGCTATACCGGCAATATCATGTTGAGCGACGCGAAAGGCTTCACCGCATTGTTCGCCATTAACGAATAGAACCGGGCATGATGGTAACCACCGAACTACCCACCGTCGCCGACTGGAAATGACTACGAGACTGTTTATGCTACGACGGAAAATCAAAGCCAACGGAATTTCCATTTCTTTATTTCACTGTTTGCACTGTTTATTCAACTCATTGTTTCATTCTTTGGCTGTTTATTTATTTCCAGCGTTGTTCTTTCCACCATTCCATGCACTATATTTATTCCATTCCATGGTGGGCATCCATTCAAACTGTCCTGTCCACCACCTTGTTTCCTTTGTTTGTGTTCAGTCCACATTTATTTCCATTTTTCATTCTTGTTTCAAGTTGGTGGGTGGTTGTGTTCCTTGGCTTTCATTTGTCTTCCTAAGTCTTGGCTTGTCCTGGCCACTTCTTCCTGGTACTGGCAAAGTTCGGCTGTCCGTTCCTTCGTGGCTTGTCTATTTCCTTCCTTCCAGCATCACTGTTTCATTCATTTGTTGTTTGTGTGTTTATTTCAATGCGCCATTCCTTTCGTTTAGTTATTTCTGGCTGTCTTCTTCTTCATTGGGGCTGTTGGCCATGGTGTTTGTGTTGTTCAATTTGTGTCCATTTTCGTACTGGCTGTCCGTAATGTGTTGTGTTTGAGGATGGTGTCGTGCCGTGTTCCGGTCCGTTGGCTCAGTTCGATTCCATTCGACTCGTGTGTGTGTGTTTGTCGGCTGTTGTCAGTGTTCCGCCGTTCAGTTGGTGATTATGCCTTCCGTTTCATGGTCCGGTGTCCTCTTCCGTGTGTTGTGTGGTCGTTTCGGTTGACTTCGGTTCTTGTGTTCCACTGTTCCGGCTGTCGTGGGCTTCATTGGCGTTTTC